GAAAATCTCAGAGGAAACTGGTGATTAATTCTTGGCATAATGGGCGTAAAATCTCGTTTCGGTAAAAAATGTCAATAGATCAAGTTTGGGTTTTCATGTCTGAATAAGGCACCTGATTTTGCAGGCATCATTTCAAAAAGAACATGGGAAATTCTGTAAAACCAAGTGCAACGTGGGTCTTTTCAGCTCGTAATACAGAACGCTGGAGTGTGATGGACGTGATTTACATCAAAGTTTCTTGTGCTCATTGGTTCGAATAAAGACTGTTCTTCTGCCAATGTCTGTCACAAAAACTCCAAGAATATCAATTTAGCAAGGTTAGCATGCACGATAGTCATGCCGTGTATATGCAAACATATCCATGACCTCAAACAGTAGCTCTAAAGGGATCGGTACAGATTTGCGAATGGAACATTTTACAAGTCGTGATATGTAGGAATGCATGTTCACTATTACGCAAGCGTGAAGTTGGTTTGACTCGAACACTCGAGTCGAAACATACACACAAGATACAGAGTAACAAAATGCACAGAATGGTAAAACGAATCAACAAGGTCCGTTAAACGAAATGAAAACGAAAAGAAAAAAACAAAACAAAAGTACAACATTCAATTGGTTAAATATATTGGAAAGAGCATGTTTATTTAGCAACAATAAGACAGGCCGCCTTCCGTGAAATGCTTATTTCTCAGCTTAGTCACCATGTTGTTTACCATCGATATCCACTTTTACAATACCCAGAAATCAGAATAATAATTGTTTCAAAAATAAAAACACAAGTGCTGTAAACTAAAGCAACATCCTGTCTTTCTACAGAGCAAAACCTGCATAGTGCACCAATTTGTTTAGAACAAACACGTATATCTATTTACATTAACCGTCGAAAAGGAAAGGTGTAAATGCTTGTTTGAATGCTCTTGAGTATATACTGTAGCCATTTTAGAAGAATTCAAAGTGAGCTTTCCATCGAGATCGAACTGCGATAGTGGCGTATCTCGCGATAAATAATTGCGCACAATATAAAACCCATTGCTCGTAGCTTGAATGTAACAGGGAATGATCCTCGATTCTTTACACAATTTTACAACATGATTTAGCAGCGTTACGTTCCAAAATTCTTGAATCATCATCAACAATATGCAGACACACAAAAAAAAATCAATCGATCAAACGAATGGATTAATAGCTTACTCTTTTCATCAGGATAAACATGGGTGGTTCCAAATAAAATTGCACGAAACGATCAAATGAAAGCAAACCAAAAGCCCACGTGAATGAAACAGAAAGCTACATTAGTTCCCTTTAAAAAACAAAAAAAAGCCAAAAAAGTAAATAAAACGCTAAATGTCAGACTATAACTTGCGTTAAATGCTGTATAAATAGATTCATATAAACTTTTTCTGTATTTCTTAAACGTATTTAATGCATATATATATATATATATATATATATATATATATATATATATATATATATATATAGTATTTTTATCGCAATTTTCGTTTGATTCGTTTTGTCACAGCCCATTATGAATGTTAACGTTAAAATCAAGCTACAAAGCAAAACAAACGCACACATACAAAAAGTGCGCGCGTGTAAATATACATACGTTTAAATATCGTCCTTTATATTAAAAAAATAACGTGACGCGCAAACAAAATAAACGAAAGAAAACAAAGAACGATAAAATACTGGCTTTAAGTAGCAACCTTTTCCTTAACTTTTTGAATGCCACAGAGTCCCCTGGTTAAAACACTAAACTGCACAGCTCACAACATCATGTTGAATGCCAGAGCTTTTGCGACGAGAACTACTAAACGCGCTCCATACAGCAGGACAGAAGGACAACACGCATTTCCATCTCTATATCAAGCTTATTTTACAGGACAATCATTTTGTTTGCTAATGCCTCTCGGAAAAAGCTTTTCATGGCACAAGCAAGGCCAGTCTTTGTCTGGAAGGGTTCCTAAAGAGAAATTATAAAACAAAGTCCAAATTGATTCCCCATGGCAAATGGAACTGCCTTACAGTACGTTGATATTCATATATATATTACTTTGTAATTTTTTTTCTGAGCTACTTTCTTGAATACCTCAGATCCCCGCCCACCCAGCAAGTAAAAAATTACTTAAAAAAAATCAATGACGACAATACCTATCTCTGGCCAGAGAGAATGTGTCAACACTGTACATCGACCTGAAGAAAAATCCAAAGCAGAATTTGTATTTTTCCATAGGAAACGTCTACTGAAGGCAAATGAAGATTGTGACGTCAGAGTTCGAACAACTCAACGAGATTCACGCAAACGTCTGTCCTCTCAAAGACCTCTCTGTCACACTGCCCTGGTCAAGATGGCAAAAGTCAAGTACGCACCGCAGCATTCAAACGAGGTCGGTTTAGCAGCAAATGGGAGGGGAAAGCCTTTTTTTTTTTTTTTACTTCTTTTTGTATTTTTTTGTGTATTTTTGTCTAGACAAAGTGCTTTTGCTTTCTTACATACAATATAGAACTTACTTTTACATATTTAATATATACTGTATATACTCTACGTTTAAAATAAATCTAAAAATTCACTTCTATGTACACAAAAAGGAGGGGGGAAAGAAGTTACAACACATAATGGACGGAATATAGATTCTTTACTATATGCTACGAAAGGTAAATAAAGAAAAATAGCTTTACAAAACTCTTTAGGTTTAGTTTAGGATTGAAAATAGTTCTCCCTTCTTTGATCAAAAGGATATTTGAGCGACACACACTTCAGCGTTAAGAAGAAAGTCACTTTTAAAAGGCCTTTAATGAGTTATTATTATTTATTTAATAATAAATTCAGAGCAGCTTGAGATTACGGCTGTAGAGGAATCTCACGTTTCAGATGCGAATTCATATTTTGCATAATAAAAATGAAGACTTTTATTATATGACGCTGTACATTAAATATTTACTTTTTATTTCTTTTATCACAATACATATTTTGGGGGGTGAAAATAATTTGATTGTGAGCGGACGTATGCTGAGATTTTAAAAATAGACTTCACTTTGTTTATGCAAAATATCCTTTATACTTCTTGTAGATTACTTTTCGGTATGCATCTTCGAAATAACCTACACTTTTTTGATCGGGAAAAGCAAATGTATTCATTACCGACTTTTAAACAAGGATTTGAGCTGACATTTTGCAAATGTCGCCTGATTTTCCTTAGCAAGATAGGTGCTTTCAGAAAATAAAAACATTCAGAGTTTCTACGTGCAGCACAGTAACGTAAGGGAGACAGTCTCTACAAAAATATATATGCAATTTTTCTTTCATGAGTAAGAAGGAGTAACACCACTTATGAAGGTGGCATGTTTATATTGACGTTTGCATGGATTAATGCGAATACAAACTAAACCTCACGGATTATTTTTGCATATACACTACCTGACAAAAGTCGACTATCCAAGTTTTAGGAACACTTAACTTGACTTCTAGTTGATCATTTGGTATCAGAAGTGGCTAATATAAAAGGCCAAGGCCTCTAGATTACGCTTGTATTAGCTTAATAAAATATGATCATGGCTTGATTTTTAATCTTTTAATTAGGACAGTAACGTCTGACTTTGCTTAGACAAAAGTCTTGTCACTTAACAGAAATAATGTCCAGTATAGAATATAAAGTCATGTTGCAGTGGAGAAATAATGAATATTGTGTCTGACTCCATCATGAGCTTGGAGGACTGCATCCATACATCTCTGCAGTGACTCAAATCACTTATTAAGAAAGTCATCTAGAATGGCAAAGACAGCATTCTTACAGGACTCCCAGAGTTCAACAAGAATCTTTGGATTCATCTTTAATGCCTCCTTCATCTTACCCCAGACATGCTCAATAATGTTCACTTCTGGTGACTGGACTGGCCAACCCTGAAGCACCTTCTTTGCTTTCAAGATCAAGGCTGAAGTATGAGTAGCCCTATCTCACTGAAGTATTTGCCCTCTCCTGTGGTTTGTAATGTAATGGGCAGCACAAATGTCTTGATACCTCAGGCTGTTGATGTTGATCATCCACTCTGCAGATCTCTCAGATACTGAATGTAACCCCAAACCATGATTTTTCCTTCACCAAACTTGACTGATTTCTGTGAGAATCTTGGGTCCAAGCAGGTTCCAATAGGTCTTCCTTAAATGCAGTTCAACGGATGATTCATAGGGAAAAATCGACCTTCTGCCACTTTTCCAAATGATCAACTAGAAGTCAAGTTATAATTTGTTGCTCTTACAACTAGGATCACCAGCAGGACTTTTGTCAGGTAGTGTGTATACATAGCCTTACAACTAGAGAAAGAATAGTACACCTTTTGGTTTGTATGGGCAAAAATAGCATCTCCGTTGACTATAAACGCGCAACAACTTCGGCGAACAGGAAAACCGAACTTCCGCACAAAGAAAAAGAAACAGTACAAAATTCGACAAGGATGCAAATGAACGCTTCTTTCTGCAGAGAATTGGACCCAAGCAAATTTCACAGTTCATTAGAAATCCCTGACCCTACCACTTTTTCCTACATTCAATACGGTGTCAGGTAAGCTGTGCAAAACCTTACTTAGACTGGCTAGTTGCCATTTTAAGTTGCATGTGTCTTTGGTACAAAAAAAAAAACGAAACAAAAGAACAATCAAAATATAGTGTGCAAATATCGTTTTTTGTATTTTATATGTGAATATTTCTTATGTTAAACGACACCAAAGCCCACCCCCCCCGTCCCCTCTTAAGCAAAGTACCGGAAAAAAAGTACAATTGCCAGAGCCATCTTATGGTACAAAGCACAGACTCTGTGGCATATATCTATATTTTCCATGTTCCTATGTACATTCAGAGTATCTTTTTAAAGAGCTGAAATACATTACAAATCTCCCCTCCCCCAATGGTCCGTTTGCGCTCTCCGTCCACTCTTACAAGGCACAATGAGTCTTACTCGTATAAAGTACAAATATAAACAAAACCCCATCTGGGAATCGACTTTTTTTTTTTTTAAGCCCCTTTCGCTGAGAATTTGCAAAACAACGAGGGTGATTTGACGTGAGGGCACTTCAGCCAGAGCGTAGAAAGGAAAAGGTTTCACCAGTGGATAGTATCATCATTCTGCTTATTTACAATAAGGGATTTCGACCGACCTCAAGTCAAAGAAAGACAAAGAGGAAAACACGCACTCGCTTTCTCTCCAACCTGAGACGGTCGCAATCGCGTGGGACTAAAAAAATCCCATCCAAGTCCTACGTATATACACCAAACATCAGTAACTACTTTCAGTTAAATATCGTATCTTCTGCGATTGCCTCACCATTTAAAAAAAAAAAAAAGCCTCAAACATGAATTCCCTCAGTCAAGGAGATTGAGAAGTCTTTACGCTAGTCCTAACTAGAGTGAAATTGTTGTATTCACAAGCTCCGAAAGTCTGCATTTACACCTGCCAAATCAAAAGGAGCGAATGCCTTCGTAGCTTTCCCGAAACTCTCAATGGGCGTTTGACAGATTTTGAGAAAAATGGCTACAGCAAGAACTGGTGCTCGTTGTTTAGCTTTTTCTCTCTCTCTCTCTCTCTCTCTGGAGGTATCTTGTATATTGGCTTTTAATTTCTGCAACATGGCGGCCTGTTGATCAATACCAGCCACATGCACACATGGTAGGAAACAGACTACTGAGTGCAAAAGGTTAACTACTGGTTTCATTTCCACTGGTGCGCACGAGGTGAATAGATACATACGTATGCACGGACAGGCAAGGTGTCGTATGCATGTATTCACGATCAATGTGAGGAACGCGTCTCCGAGTGAAATGGGCATGCAGAGTGTCGGGCCGTTACAGTGTGGGACAAGAATGGCGCGGATGGCTTCATGTGTGCTCCGAGGTGCCCGGGCTGACTTTACACCTTGGAAGTGGGCACACGCAACCCCACCAGCCCTCCGGTGGGATCTCCTTTCCCGGTGTTCTCCAGGATCTGATTCACGAAGTCTGATGTCTGGCTGGCCACTGGTGGCTCCACTGCAGGGACAAACGAGAAGCTTCATTACTTTTTCTATATGAGTTACAGTTAAAGGCAGAATTATTAGCTCCTCCAGTATATTTCCCCCCCAATTTCTGTTAAGGAGAAAAATATTTTTAACACATATTTCTAAACACACACACACGCACACACACACACACACACACACACACACACACACACACACACACACACACACACACACACACACACACACACACACACATATATATATATATATATATATATATATATATAAATATAAATATATATATATATATATACATATATATATATATATATATATATATATATATATATATATATATATATATATATATATATATATATATATATATATATATATATATATATATATATATATATTTGATGCACAACATTTGGGCATGTAAAATAAATTATAGATGTATATTTTTATAATTAGCAGTTATTTTCTGAAACTGTCGTGTGTAGTTGGCTGACGTCACTTGCACGCCAGCGTGTGGTGAAGACAGGAGAGACGCATTTTGACTGTCTTCTAACTTCATCCATCATGTCAGTTCTTCATAAACACATCTCCCAAACTGCTTTGCTGCATTAGTTTACTGACACTGGACTGCTTCATCGCGCCGCGGCCGCACTGGTCTCGTGTCGGTAAAGGAGAGACTGTCGCGTTCACTCAGGATTCCTGCCGTAACGGACGGGCGCATTTCATCGTTCATCGTCGAGGATTTTCGTGAGAACACACACACTGATTCACATTCATGAACTCCTTTTACATTATTCAAGAGTTAATATTCACATATTGAGATTGGGACGTTTAGACTGTTAAACTTTATTTTATACTTCTGTATAATTCAATTTTGTTTAAAAAAAGAGCTGAACTGCTGTGAACACAATATTGCATTTATTTATTTATTTTAGTTCGTTTTAAACACTTGAGCACGTTTTATCAAGACTGAAAAGCCGTTCAGACACAGAACAGAACATTCCAACACAGCGAACAAACTGAGAGTATTTTCTTACGGGTGTTTACTTTTATTCGAGCAGTTGGAGATTATAATATGAGTAATATGACTATGAATAAACCCTGAGTGTTCTGCGCATGAGCACCAGGCCTCCGCGTGAGAAGTGAGCGGACTGCGCCATCTAGCGATGGAACTGAGGGTTGCAGCTCTGAATTTGGGTATTTGTGTCTTATTATCACACGCTTGTGCCAGTAAACAACAACAACAAGCAAAATTCACCTCAATACTGACTGGAGATCAGCATGACAACTAAACAAAACCAGGACTTATGAGCCGTTTTCTGAAAAGTGTCTCCATTCACAGAGAAAATACTCTGCTTGAGGAGATGTTTGGGGCCCACAGTCTGAGCCCCCCTTCCCCCTCCCCCCACACACACTCTCTCTCTCTCTCCCACACACACACACGCACACACACGCGGATATAAGAAAGACTAATACAGCTGTGATAATTTGATGCGTTGAGTTTATTGATAGGCATTATTTTACAGTAACAGTGATCTATTAACACAACACTATTATATATAAAGAGAACAACACATGATTCATAACTCTGAACAGGTAAAGCATAAATATTTTACTATTCATCTCACAATCATGAAGATGACGATCAAATAAGTTAAGAACAGACGTGAG